TTGGCCAAAAAGGTAGGGGGGGCATTTGGGGGGGGGGGGGTGTGAAAGAGGCCACCTAAGCCTGCAGTCATTGCCTGGGAGAAGTGATGTGCCTGAGAACACCCTCAGACCCCTAAAGCCTTATTTCCAGCCGAGCATCTTCCTGCGGTGGAAGCCCTGTCCTGGATCCGCACATAGTTTTTGTGGCTCACAGAGGGAAGGTTGTAATCCTCTTTTGTGACCTGCTAACACAATTCCTGCATTTAGTGCTACAGAACTGCAATAGACGATTCAAGATATTTTGGTTCCTTTATACGGAAGAGGGGAAACTCCTGAAACCTGCATAATATTCCCAGGAAAGCCACCTGGGAGATGAGTCCACTTCTGTTGTTTTGCACAACAGAATCTCCTTCATTTCTTTGTGCAATTGCACCAAGAAAATAGTAAATGACAGAGGAGCGGGTGTCTCAGGAGCCAGTGCTGAGTATATCTCCGCTGAACACCCCAGCCTGATTATTCGGAACCAAACACGGGCCGTGCTTTGGCTCAGAGGAAAAGCAGTAGGCTTCCTCTGCTTGCCTTGGTTTGACTTTCCCATCCATCTATGTGTTTCTGAATGTTTTCAAGAAGGTAAGCTATACTCCTCGATAATTTATTCTGATGTATTTATTTAATTGATGGTTTATTCCTCACAGTTCACTCTGTCTTATGGATAACCAAAAAGTAATGTCGTTTTACTGTTTTTTCTCTTTGCCCACTCAGATGTATCAGATCAATCAGACCCATGGTCTTCTGAAAAAGATTAACTCTGTAATTCAAAAAATAACAGAGCCCATCCAGCCAAAAGTAGCAGAACACAAACCTCAGACAGTGAAGCGCCTCTCTTACCCCTTCTCCAGAGAGAAACAGCACCTGTAAGTGAAAGCTTTCTGTAAACGTCCACGTCAACAGGTTCCAGCCTTCCTGATAGCAGCTAAGGCACCAAAAGGTGAAAGGGAAAATGAACACCAACACCTTGTTAGTGATTACTGTAAATAATATATCTGGTTTACAGTAAATTTACTTTTTTTTTTTTTAATCACTGTTGAGGAATGAGGCTTTGTAGACCCCCTCTGTGAAGTCTATGTGCTGCTGTTGTGGTATATAATACATATATATATACACATATATAAAAAAATTAAAAAAAACTATACGCATCAACTGTTAGACTGCCAAACAAGATTTATAAAGTGGTTTATAATAGTCTTTCTTCCATATAAAATAAAATGCTTAGTAAAATTTGTAGCCGGAGATGTGGGTTGATATATTTCAGAATAATTTCATTCATCTGGTATGGGCAGCTTACACATGTCCTGACAACCAGGCCTTGACTTTGGAAATGCTACGAGGTCTGTGGTAGCTTTGCCATCGATTTCAGATCAGTAAGAATAGCTGTAAATGTGGGTGTAAGAAAAAAATCGTAAGGTGGGGCCCAGCCAAAGTTTCGACGGCTCTGGATTGCTTTGTTGTTGCTCTTCCTTGGCCAGCATCCCAGAGGAGAAGCTTTGAAGGCTGTGTTTGTGTATGTGCCAGCTGGAACAAATAACAGTCCTAGGGCAGGATTCCTTCACTGTACATACAGGGCTTTTAGTTTTTAATCAAGGGATGCAGAGCACTGATAGAGTTGTGTATGCTAGCTGGGCCAGTCAATGTATGTGACGTTTGACATGTTCTTGGACTTGCAGGAAATGTATTTGTCTATTTATTTGCACGTAGGATGTTCCTACAGCGAAGTAGCCCGGTGGCTCAGAGAAAGCCCATAAGATGCTCCTTCGCTTAGGCGTGGATGTGCCTTATGCTGTTTGCAGTAGTGGCTTTTTTCAGTGAGACCGCCTGTGCCTTTGCTGAATAAGGGAGGCAGGTTAAACCCTCACAGCAGGGTTTAAGGTACAGACAAAACGTAGAGATTACCGGGAGAAATTCAAGGCCAGTGGTGGTTGGGAATTCAACTTAAATGAGCATCAACATTCTCTTTTGTGCAGAAAAACCTATAAATATATAAAACCAGTGAAACATATAAGTGACCTCTTTAGCATATGAGAGTTGGGATGGACTTTCTTTTTAATGAGGCTTCTACAAGCTGTTCTCTAATGTTAGCTATGAGACGTCCCCAGGAGAAATGAAAATATCGAAGGGGTCAACAAGAGCAGGAAATTACAGGCTTTTTTTTTTTTTTTTTAACCTAATGGGCTTCCTTCTAATCTTTTAACAGATTTGATTTGTCTGACAGAGATTCCTTCTTTGACAGCAAAACGAGAAGCACTATAGTAAGTACTGTATATAAATAATTTATGGTGGATAGTGCCTTAGTCATGGTGTTAACAGCCCCTTTGCCAGCTTTAGTACAATACCTGTTGTAAGTTTGCCTTTCTTAACCAAATGCCAGGGATCGCCTGTGACATCTGTTATTGAAATTACCAATAAAGCATTTCCAGCTTTAGCTTATGTGCCGAATAGTGTTTGATGCTAACAGGTTACTGCCTTTTGGAAAAAAATTTGGATCTTCTTTCTAGTTCACAGTTAATCTGGGACACAGTTTCTTGGTAGACATGTCACCAGAAAGGAACAGATTCAGATTCTACCACTGGTGCTGCCACCAGCTACCTGCACCCCTGTGACTCATTTACCTTTTTGTACCTATACATTGCTCTGTTCGTAAAATGCTGCGAAATCTCCCAGGACAAATTCCAATGAAACAGCCAGGTATTTACAGGGAATATTATTTATAGGCTTTGGGGGCAATTCGCTAGAATGGTGTTAAAAGTGTTGAGGTTTATGTTTTTCATTCAACATTATTTAACATTATTTATGATTTGTATTTAAAATTAAAGTTTACATGAAGCAAATGCAATAAGGACAGAAAATTGCATCTTGTTCTGATTGTTTAGGCGTCTGTTCACCCCAGTTACGTAACAGAGTGTGACGTACACGTATGCAGCACTGGGACTGGGCTGAGCCATTGCTGCCTTCGTGTTGGAGGGTCTCTCTACTCCTTCAGTGCTAGCATAGAACTTTTCCTCTTGTAATTAAACTTCTGCGGTTCCCTTACAAAAATCAAATCTAATACAGGAATAGACAAACTACATTTGAGTGTTTCCTTGTGACTTACAGACCATAAAATAGGGTGGGGGAGAAGGTGTAGCCTCTTTTATAGCCACCGAGGGGGAGTTGAAAGGACAGCTCATATGACATCCAGGGCATTTGGAAGGGACCATGCCAAGCTCTTGCTGTAACACTTTTCAAAGTATAATGTGGACTTTTTGCCCCACTCCACTGCTGCTAATCGGTGCACTGGAATGTGACTGTGAGCGTGCTTTTATCTTTTATTTAACATTAGCCTTTTGGATGCTAAGTGGTTTCAAAAAGAGCTTATATCGCAATTATAGCTGCCTTTTATTGCTACAGTGATAAGAGGTGTAAGATATCTAACTTCCCTTTCCTGCTTTGAAATTCCAGTGTGTGGACCCCATGATGTAGTTCCCCTGTAGCTCGAAGTGCACTGATTTGATGTGGGCGCAGGTTATCAGGGCTAGGTGAGTTTGACCAGGGAAGGCAGATGCAGCAGCACAGAAATGGAAAAGAACAAGACAAACATTGAATCGGTTTATTTGCCATAAAATGGTTCATTTGAGATAGACAGAAGCTATGTTTTTTTTTTTCAGTAGGCTTTCTTTTATATGTCTGGACATATAGTAAAAAAGCTTCTAAGCACAAGAAACTTAAGGGAGGAAATGAGTTAAAATTAATGAGAAGGGTAGCACGACAAAATGGCACCACAGGACAAGAGGGTAAGCCAGACTAACTGAAAAATGGTCTGAAACAAAAGGAGCTCAGAGGCTGGGAGGAAGAGGAGGGATGAGGGTTTTTTAAACCACTCAAGGAACACTGGGCGTGTAAGAGCAATGCTGGTAGTATGTTGCTTTGTTTGAAATCCCTGTAAATCACCCAGTAATAAAAGACATACTGAACGTTTCCCAGCATAATTTTATCCTGCATGAATTTCTCTTTGTATTCTTGTTTCTTAAAGTTCTCTCCTGCCTTTCTCATATGTGCTTTTAAACCACAGTGCAAATATTGACCCTTCCGCCTACTGCAAAATGAACAGGAATCTAGTCACTCCCTGTGAGTCTTTGACGAATAGAAACTAAGCCAAAGACCTTTTACTTATGAAAAAAAAAAAAACCAGCCCAACCATCATTATATAACTGGAAACCTCTCCCTGACAGCCCTTTGACTCGCTGGCGTTACAAGACGACGAGAGGCAGATGAGCTGCGGGGCTTGCCCCGTCGCGCCCTCGCTCACTCCCCTCCGTGAACTGGGCAAGCGGCAGCCGAGTTACCGCACGGATTAGCGAGCACCCCCGGGAACCAGCCCCTGCCTCCCCAGGCAACGGGCAGCAGGTGCCTCTGCCCGTGTCTCTCCTCTGCTGCCCGCTCCCCGGCCAGCCGAGCGCTCGCCTTGCCGAAGAGTGTCGCGGCACGGGAGCGGCGCGGGGCGAAAGCCTGACCGCTCAGGCAGCGTGCTGAGGTGTGCAAAGGTTATTCGACCATAAACGCAGTAAATTGTAAAACAAATACATCTGAGGTCATGCAAGCTCAGAACGTTTAAGGTCGGCCGGTTTCTGACAAATGGCTGCGTGCTGCGTACGCGTTATGAGCCTGAAGCTCTGCCGAAATCCTTGGGTTGAAGCCAGCGTGCGCCGTCGGAGGCGAGGGAAGGGCTGGCCCAGCGCACCGCCCGGGCTGGGTAGAAGAGGGCTTCTGATCTTTGACTGATGTCTAGCACCAGCAAAAATAGCACTTCTGTATGCGAGTGGTTAAATGTAACCCTGTTTCCCTCGATCAATTATCTTGGTAGCTGGCTATTTAGTTAAGCATTTCTCTCTCGTATGGATAACTCGGCATGGAAGTCTTTAAGCCCTGCTCTCCTGAACACCATGACTTTTAGTAAAGAATGACAATTTCACCGACATCGTGGTTTTGCCAATATTTGAGCCGTACACAAAAAAGATTGGGCTTTTCAACTGGCAGTATCTGAAGTAACCCTTTCCTTTCTTTTATTTTACTTCCGTAGGTTTATGAAATATTGAAAAGAACGACATGTACCAAAGCAAAATATAGCATGGGTAAGGAAATTTATTTAGCTTTAAGATCAATATCGTTTTCAGGTATTGAAAATAATTGCAAGTGGTAACTGGCTGCGGAGTTCAGGTTTTCTCCCTGCTCTCTAATTTGGTGTGTGTGGATATATGTGTTTTATTTAGAAATTTTATTTCATTCATATAGCTGTTAGGAATTTTTTCAAATGGGAATTTGTAGATTTGACTCTAAATTATATGGTAAGTGAGCATATAGCCCCTGCAGATGTTAATTAGGTCCTTTGCAGCAGGACTGGATGGTGGTACAAACCAGTGGGTAACACGTGCTGTGCGTTGGTTCAGTTTTACACTCACTGAAGTGCATGAGGGTATTATCATGCATTTCAGTAGCTGCAGTGAAAGTCTGTGGATTGGCCCATTCCTTTTAAGTAATAACCTTGCGTTTTTATTGTGGGATGGCTTTTCAATGACTTGAGGGAAATGGTCTTAACTGATGACTGCCCAAAACACTGTCCTGAGCGGAACTGAGATCAACCCGGTGGAACGGCCAAGCACTAAGGCGTGCACTGAACGCTGGCCCATCTCTTACCCCTCAACACAGTTGTTGCAATTCAGTGTGAAGTTTGTACTGCCACAGCCAGTAGTTTTAGGATTTCAGCCTTAGGGCTTGTGCTCTAAGAACTGCATTCATAATACATGTAAACATGAATTGCAGATCAGGTCACCTTGAAGATTTGTTGGCAGCTTTTCCCGCTCAGCTGTTATATACTTTATTTTATACGTATCGTGAGATATAGGTATATACTTGACTGTGGCACCAAAGTTAACAAATACTTAATGGTAAACCAAATTATACAAGGTGGAAGGCTGAATTCTCTCATATCCAAGTTTCTTAATAGACAACCAATAGAAACAAATGTGGATGAGAAAAATGCATGAACATGGGAGAAAATGTTTGATAACTGTTGGAATCTGTTATAACATTTATTTGCCTACACGCAGTTAAATAAAACAATGGGAACTTGAATTACAGGTAGTTCTGTTCAATATTGACCCATCAGCTGCTTAGAAATACATCAAATAATAGAACAACAATTATGCCAGAAATTATTTCCATGCTTTGACTTCTCTGTTGAAGTAAAAACATACAATGTACAATTGTTGAGTCCTTATATACACTAAATTTTGGTGTTCAGCCAGTATTAACAGAAGCACTGTTTCCCTGTAGCATGGGAAATCCAAATTAATCTGTGACTTTCAGGACCCTTTTCAAGTCTGGTGCTGGACCATTTTCATTGGAAATTACGTATTTGCACTCTCGAAAGGAGAAGGTCATACAGCTTAGTTTGAATTCTTGCCTTGGAGCTGGTTACTCACTTGATTTATTTTTTTCTTTCTTTCTTTCTTTTTTTTTTGTCCAGAAATGGGAAACACATTAGAGATTAGTTAAATAGAGCAGAGGCTAAAGGAAAGTAAAGTGTTAGGATTCCTGGATCATTCTTCGTCCAGAGACTGGCGAGGTCACACAGTATACCTAATAAAAATGTCATTAGGCCAGCCTGTCCGCGGGTATATTCAGCATAACTCAATTGGGTCCTTTGTGTCCCAGCACTGGAATGCTGGGTTACAACCCAGCGAAGGTTGCAAACAGATTTGAGCAAACACAGATAATGCTGCAACATTTCTGCCCAGCGGGAAAAGAGCGGCCGCCCGGTGAACACTGCAGCCTTTGTCAGTTATTTTGTGAATGTGTGAAAATGAGAATCGGTCTTCATTGTTAAATACTGATACGTAGAGAGGTACTATGTAGCTCTTCGGTTGGTCGCATAGCCCTAGAAAAATAATTTATCTGCTCACTAGTTGTTTCTGCCAGAAGTGTGGAAACATTTGCATAGTACTGTATAATCTTCAATAGGACTTTGAAAATTAATGATACTGCAGGATACTGAGCGCTCCTGGAGCAGTTCCTCCCGCAGGTGATTAGTATCTCGAAAATGTAAATGAACTTGAAAAATTCTCATTTCAAGAAGAATCAAAAATGCCTTGGTGAACCAACAGTGAGCTGTTTCCTGGTTCATAGTCGCTGTTCCTTCAAATCCAGTCCCACACTCTTTTGTTGGCAAAATGAACCGATGGGCAGCGTGAAGCACACTGTAGCACATCATTATTTTTCTTTTCTTTTCCCAAGTCCTTTTAAATTCTCCACGATGACAGCGGACAGATTCTTTTTTTATTATTATTGGCATTAATCAGCTCAGCCTTACACAGAGACAAGTGCTTGCCTTAGCTCTGGTTCAGCACCCAAGACTGGTTTGTTGAATCCCCAAGCGTATCGCCACGGATAACGCGACACCTTCAGACGTGGGTAATACTCCATAGTTGGAGGTAGCTATATTAATGCCAGCAGCTGCAGCAAGAACGTTAGCAAAGTAACGTGCTACAGCCCTCAGAGGTCCGGGTCCAGCCCAGTGACCTGTGGCAATGCCGCAGCGAGCTGCGGTGGCGAAGAGCCCCTCGCCGTTGCGCTCCTCCAAACTTACGCGGTAACTCCTTCCGGCTCGCTCGTGCTCTGGCCCCGAGTTAAGGAACGGTACCACACCTGGGAAGGCAGGACTCCTCAAAGTCCCTTATGGCACATACATTTTATAGATGAAGCACTAATTGCTTTCAGCCTCATGCATGTCACTAATAAACGGATGTGTAAACAGGGAAAGGAGAGGGAAGAAAGAAGGAAACTACCCTTTTAAATAAAAGACGAAAATGTGGTAAATATGGTAAGTA